CCCCAAAACCCCAAAACCCCAAAACCCCAAATTTAGACATTTATTATAATTCAAATTCTACCCATTATGGCGCAAAAGTAAGGAATGAAGCTAAACAAGGTTCTAGAGGTGTAAAACCGGCTTAAGAGCCATCTGAGGCCTGTTTAGGGAAATTTCATGAGCTGGAATTCTATTATTTTATATAGGAACAAGTTTGAAGACGACGATTGTGTCGAAATCGACAGCGTAGTCAGCTCAGAAGGAGATCTAGAGGATAGTCTTCAAGAAGGAGGTATATCTTGCAGACAAGATAGGGATGATCAGGTCTTGGAGGATCATTCTGTTTCTAATAATAACCTCCTCTCCAGCACAGAGATCACCCCTATGCCTCTAAAATCCTTCCCTGCACCCCCTCTTCCCCCTCCCACCCCCCAAAACCCCACTCTCGATCTCTCCCTTCACCACATCCGCAACTCCTCATCCCCCTCCTCCCCAGCCACTCCCCAAGAAATCCCCCCTCCTTCCCACCCAAAATCCTCCACCCCTTCCTCCCAAGAACACCCACCTCACCTAGACCTTACCCTCTCAAGACCAGATTTCAACGTACAGAAAGAAGAGATTTCTAGCTCAATCGGATTTTATACAGGTAAGGTTAGACAACAGAAGTGGGAAATTTTAGATTTGTACTGATTTTGGTATAGATTGTACACAGCAGATAGAAGAGTTGCAGAAGGAATGTGTGAAGGCAGGGGGGGTGAAGGAGAGGAGGGTTGGGGAAGGGGGTGAACAGAGGGATGAGGAAGAGAAGGAAGGGGGGTTTTAGGGAGGAAGAGCAGGTGGTTGGGGAGGAAATGGAGAGTGAGGGATGAGTAGAGGTGATTGAGGGGGGAAATGAAGGGGAGGAAGGGATATTGGATGGGGATAGTGAGAGTGAGGAGGAAGATCTTGATTTTGAAGTCGTGCATACAGTTCATTCTGATGATGGGGGTGAGCAATCGAAGGAACTAGAGGGGGTTAATGAAGAGAGTAAAATTAGTCCGCTCATGGAAGTAAACACAAAGAAGGAAAATGAGTCATTATTACAATCCCAAATAGATTTAACTCTTTCTTCAGAAGATGAGATATCCAAAAGTGTTCTATCATCTTGAATAGAGCTGCAAAGCAATAAGGATGATACTTCTAGAATCTTTAAAGAAGATCTAACTCTTGAATTTGAAGACCTGAAAAGATTAAACAACGACATTCTGGGTGAAGGAGTGTCTCAACTTAGAGATTCATACCTCCAAGCATCAGAGGAAGTTTTCAACTTGCTGAAAGTCTTGAATAAATCTCCACTACAGACTTCATTAGAGGAAATTCAAGAAGAGAAGAAGGTATTTAGTAGCTTTATGTGATTTAGAGTGAAATCATAGAGGTAAAGGAAGTACCAACTGAGGTAAAGGAAACCCCAATTGAGGCAAAGGAAACCCCAATTGAGGCAAAGGAAATACCAAATGAGCAGGATGAATTGAAAGAGGATATAGAAATAGATCAGATTGTTGAAGAAAAGAAAGATACTGGAGAGATCAAAGGGGCTGATAAAGTTGAATTAGAATTAGAAAAACCAGTTCCAAAGCCAATTATCCTGACTGAGTCAAATATTTCAAAAATTTTCTCCATAGCCAAATCTCTCGAAAAACTTAATGAAGATCTGGGATTATTTAATTTTGATTTATCTGCTCACAAACCAGACAAACCAGTTAACTCAACACCACAAACCCATTATTCTCCATCTCCATGATGAACTCCACTTAAGCCTTCCAAAATAACACCTTCTCTTACCACAACAAAGCAAAACCTGAGTAAAATCAACAATTTCGAAAATGTCAAAACTCCTCAAAATATTCATCAATCTCCACAAAACTCAAGGTAAATAATCTAAAATGCTATTTTATTACCTCTAAACACACTTCTAATTTTCTTTTTTTCATCTTAGCTCACCTAACACCATCATAGTCCCAAATTTTATTACAAAAACACTCCTCCCAGGGACCCTCAAATCCAGCTACAAACGGTTCAAGATACCCTCCAGAGAGCCCAGTCTAACTGGAGCACTCAGCAAGAATCTCTTGCTGAGATTTTACAGTCTGTGAAACTTCAGCAACCCCAAGTTGATGAGTATCGGACTCCAGCTCCTAAAATGTTCAATGATGAACAAGATTTAAGCCCCATGGACCCAAGATATCCTAAATCTATTAGTCCTTCATGTAATGAGAACGAAGAATTTCTATATCAACCAAAATTCATGCAGCAATCAATAAGGAAGAGATCCACTTCTAAATCAAAGTCAAGGAAGCGGAAAAAGAGTCAGAAGAAGGTACAGATTCAAGAGCCGGTTCCTCCGATGAGCAACCAACAAGAAAACCCTCTGTTTAATTACAATACAGAGACTAATTTTTATCAGTCTAAAAGCTGTAATTATCAAGTAAGACTTAGTTGTGATCTCTAGCAAAAACCTTGAGAGGTAGAATTTGAAAAGCCTGAAGTAAGATTAGCTTACAATTGAGTTAATATTTGTAGAATACCAACCATCCTCTCATGTATCTGCTTAACAAACAAATGGGTAAGAGTTCTTTGGTCAATCATTATAGGTTATACTAATGAAGATACAGAGTTAGACCTGAGTTATAGTCTAGCTACTCCTGAAGCTCATAGTATAAATCATCAACCAGAAGACAACAATTTAGGTAGGAAGGCTTTTATCACTAACTGTTGAATTACTTCAATACTCAAATCTCCAATAGAAGATGATAACGACGAACTTGACCTCAGCAGCCACAGCCTCACAAACCTCCTGACCCAAGGTACTTTCCCTAAATTACCTCTAGCCAAATCTGAGAAGAAGTTCAGTTTCCTCAACTTTGCTAAACAAACTTGTGAAAAAGAGCTCAAACGAGTCAAGAGCGACTTGAAAACTTAACAAAACATGGTTTTTTGTTCATGATTATTTCAATTTGACCGGTCAAATTTGGGGTTTTGGGGTTTTGGGGTTTTGGGGTTTTGGGG